CTAAGAATTATGTGGGACTCTATCAACAGAAATAACCTATGAGTGACTGGAGTACCAGAACAGGGGAGGATAACAGAAAATACAGAGAAAACTGTTCAAGATTTGTTGGCAGAAAACTTTCCTGATATCGTGAAAGATGAGAAGATAGCTATCCAAGATGCTCATCGAACCCCACATAAGGCAGATGTGAAAAGAAAGTCACCAAGACATATAATCAAACTTGCCAAAACCAAAGATAAAGAGAAAATTTTAAGAGTGGCTAGGGATAAATGAAAAGTCATCTACAAAGAAGAGTCAATAAAAATAAGCTCAGACTACTCAGTAGAAACCATGCAGGCAAGAAGGCAATGGGATGACATATATAAAGCCCTGAAGAAAAAAAATTGCCATCCAAAAATTATATACCAAGCAAAACTGTCTCTCAAATAGGATGGTGAAATTAGGACTTTTCCAGATAAACAGAAGTTTAGCAAATTTGCAAAAACCAAACCAAAATTACAAGAAATACTAAAGGGAGTCATCCGGTTAAAAAATCAGTAACATCAGATAACAACCCACCACTAGAACACAGGACACAGCAACCAGATATTAACCCAGATAGAGAAGTCACAAAAATAAATCAAAGCTAAAACACCAAAAATAGGGAAAAAGAGATGTCAATATGTAAAAGGTGACAACATTACAACAAAAAAGAGGGACTATAAAATGTAGTCATAGATTTTTCGTATGGAAAGGAAATCAAAGCAATAAAAAAAATAAAAGACTAGTTTAAACTTAGAAAAGTAGGGGTAAATATTAAGGTAACCACAAAGGAAACTAACAATCCTATACATCAAAATAAAAAACAAGGAAAACATTAAGACTCAGCAAATACAAAATCAACATACAGAAAAACGACTCAGCACAGAAAATTAAGTGGAACAAAGAAACTGTCAACAACACACAAATAAGACATCAAAATGACAGCACTAAACTCATACCTATCAATAATTATGCTGAATGTTAATGGACTAAATCGACCAATAAAGAGACAGAGAGTGGAAGAATGAATTAAAAAAATACGATTTGTCTATATGCTGCCTACAAGAGACACACCTTAGACTTAAAGACACAAACTAAAACTCAAGAGATGTAAAAAATATATCAAGCAAATAACACTCAAAAAAGAGCAGGAGTGGCAATATTAATCTCTGACAAAATAGACTTTAAAGTAAAGTCCACCACAAAGGATAAGGAAGGACACTATATAACGATTAAAGGGTCAATACACCAAGAGGACATAACTATAATAAATATTTATGCACCCAGTGACAGGGCTCCAAAATACATAAAACCAACTAATAACGTTGAAAAGAGGGAGAGAGAGCTCCACAATAATAGTAGAAGACTTCAACACACCAGTTTTGGTGCAGAACAGAACATCCAGAAAGAAGCTCAACAAAGACACAGAAGATCTAAATGCCACAATCAACCAACTTGATCTCATAGACATATACCGAACACTCCACCCAACAGCAGCCAAGTTCACCTTTTTTCCCAATGCACATGGAACATTCTCCAGAATGGACCACATATTAGGTCTTAAAGTAAGCCTCCACAGAATCCTAAGCATTAATTACAAAGCATCTTTCCTGACCATAGAGCCATAAAAGTAGAAATGAATAACAGAAAAAGGAAGGAAAAAATATCAAACACATGGAAACTGAACAACACCTTGCTTAAAAACTACTGGGTTATAGAAGAAATTAAGGATAGAGTAAACAAATTCATAGAATCAAATGAGAATGAAAACACATCCTACCAGAACCTTTGGGATAGAGCAAAAGCAGGGCTCAGAGGTCAGTTTATAGCAATAAATGTAGGCATCCAAAAAGAAAAAAAGTGCCAAAATCAAAACATTAACCCTACAACTGGAACAAGTAGACAGTGAGCAGCAAAAGAAGCCCTCAGGTGCCAGAAGAAAGGAAATAATAAGAATTAGAGCATAATTAAATGAAATAGAGACTAGAAAAACAATTGAAAGCATTAATAAGAGCAAAAGCTGGTTCTTTGAAAAGATCAACTAAATCGATAAACCATTAGCCAAACTGACAAAAGAAAAACCAGAGAGGAAGCAAACAACCCATGTAAGAAATGAGATGTGTGATATCACAACAGACCTAACTGAAATTAAAAGAATCATAACAGAATACTATGAAAAATTGTACTCTAAGAAATTTGAAAACCTAGAGGAAATGGACAAATTTCTAGAAACTCACTACCTACCTATCATGGATTGAATTGTATTCCCCAAAAATATCTGTCAGCTTGGCTGGGTCATTGTGTACCAATGTGTATAATTGTGTACCATTTTGTAATCTGATGTGGTTTCCTTATATGTTGTAAATTCAATCACTATGATCTAACAAGATGTATCAGCAGCAGTTATACTGATGAGGTATACAAGATTGGATAGTGTCTTAAGCCAATCTCTTTTGAGACATAAAAGAGAGATGCCAGCAGAGACACACGGAAACCTCATACCACCAAGAAAGCAGTGCTGAGAGCAGAGCGGGTCCTTTGGACCTGAGGTTCCTGGGCAAAGAAGCTCCCAGACCAAAGAAAGATTGATGACACGGACCTTCCTCCAGAGCTGACAGAGAAAGCGTTCCCCTGGAGCTGATATCCTGAATTTGGACTTGTAGCCCACTAGACTGTGAGAGAATAAATTTCTCTACATTGAAGCTATCCACTTGTGGTATTTCTGTTATAGCAGCACTAGATGACTAAGACACTACCTAAACTAACACAAACAGGGGTAGAACAACTAAATAAACCCTAAAACAAAAGAAGAGATTGAAAAGGTAATTTAAAAACTCCCAACAACAACAACAAAAAATCCCTGGCCCAGATGGTTTCACTGGAGAATTCTACCAAACTTTCAGAGAAGAGTTAACACCACTACTACTAAAGGTATTTCAGAGCATAGAAAAGGATGGAATACTCTCAAACTCATTCTATGAAGCCAGCATAACCCTGAGACCAAATCCAGGTAAAGACCCACAAAAAAAGAAAATTACAGACCAATATCCCTCATGAACAATGACACAAAAATCCTCAGCAAAATTCTAGCCAATAGAATTCAACAACATAACAAAAAAACTAATTCATCACGATCAAGTGGGATTTATACCAGGTATGCAGGGGTGGTTCAACATTATAAAAACAATCGATGTAATTCATCATATCACATAAATAAAAGACAAGAACTGCATGATCTTATCAATTGATGCAGAAAAGGCATTTGACAAAGTCCAACATAATTCATGATAAAAACTCTCAGCAAAATAGCAACAGAAGGGAAATTCCTCAACATAATTAAGGACATTTATACAAAGCCAGCAGCCAACATCACCCTAAATGAAGAGAGTTTGAAAGCATTCCCCTTGAGAACAGGAACTAGACAAGGATGCCTTTTACCACCACTCTTATTCATCACTGTGCAGAGAGAAATTAGGCTAGAAAAAGAAATAAAAGGCACCCAAATTGGTAAGGAAGAAGTCAGAGTATCTCTATTTGCAGACGATATGATCTTATACACAGAAAACCCCAAAGAATCCACAAGAAAACTACTGGAACTAATAGAAGACTTCAGCAAAGTATCAGGATACAAGATTAACATAAAAAAATCAGTTGGATTCCTCTACATCAACAAAGAGATCTTTGAAGAGGAAATCACCAAATCAATACCATTTACGATAGCTCCCAAGAAGATAAAATACTTAGGAATAAATCTAACCAGAGACATAAAAGACCTACACAATGAAACCTACAAGACACTACTTAAGAAACCAAAAGAGACCTGCATAAGTGGAAAAACATACCTTGCTCATGGATAGGAAGATTCAACATTGTGAAAATGTCAATTCCACCCAAAGCAATCTACAGATACAATGCAATCCCAATCTAAATTCTGTCATTTTTTAATGAGATGGAGAACAAGTCACCGACTTCATATGGAAAGGAAAGAGACCCCAGATAAGTAAAGCATTACTCAAGAAGAAGAACAAAGTGGGAGGCCTCACACTACCTGATTTTAGAACCTATTATACTGCCACAGTAGTCAAAATAGACTGGTACTGGTACAACAACAGATACATAGATCAATGAAACAGAATTGAGAATCCAGACTTATATTTACCCACCTATGAGCAGCTGGTATTTGACAAGGTCCAAAGTCTGTTAATTGGGGAAAAGACAGTCTCTTTAACAAATGGTGCTGGCATAACTGGATATCCATCTGCAAAAAAATGAAACAAGACCCACACATCACACCATCCACAAAAACTAATTCAAAATGGATCAAAGACCTAAATATAAAACCAAAAACAATAAAGATCATGGAAGTAAAATAGGGACAATGCTAGGAGCCCTAAAAAAGGAATAAACAGAATACAAACTATAAGTAACAATGCACAAACACCAGAAGAGAAACTAGATAACTAGGATCTCCTAAAAATCAAACACTTAATGCTCATCAAAAGACTTCATCGAAAGAGTGAAAAGAATACTTACACACTGGGAAAAAATTTTGGGCTATGACAAATCTGGTCAGCATCTAATGTCTAAAATCTACAAGATAGCAAAAAGATGGAAACAACCTTGGCGCCCATCAACGGATGAATGGATGACCAATTATGGAATACTATGCAACAATAAAGAACAATGATGAAACCATCAAACATCTTATAATATGGAGGAATCTGGAAGGCATTATGCTGAGTGAATTTAGTCAGTCACAAAAGGGCAAATATTGTATAAAACTACTATTATAAGAACTCAAGAAAATGTTTAAACACACAAGAAAACATTCTTTGATAGTTACGAGGTGGGGAAGGAGGGAGAGGGGTATTCACTAATTAGACAGTAGACAAGAATTATCTTAGGTGAAGGGAAGGACAACATACGCTACAGGGGAAGTCAGCACAACTGTACTAAACCAAGGCTAAGAAGTTTCCTGAACACAATCAAACACTTTGAGGGACAGAGTAGCAGGGGCAGGGGTCTGGGAAGCATGATTTCAGAGGACATTTAGGTCAACTGGCATAACAAAATTTATTAAGAAAATGTTCTGCATTCCACTTTGGTGAGTGGTGTCTGGGGTCTTAAAAGCTGGCCAGTGGCCATCTAAGATGCATCAATTTGTCCCAACCCACCAGGAGCAAAGGAGAATGAAGAACATCAAAGACACAAGGAAAGTATTAGCCCAAGAGACAGAAAGGGCCACATAAACCAGAGACATCATCCAGCTGAGACCAGGAGAACAAGATGGTGTCTGGCTACCACCAATGACCACCCTGACAGGGAACAAAACAGAGAGTCCCTGATGGAGCAGGAGGAAAGTGGGGTACAGAATTAAAATTCTAGTAAAAAGACCAGACTTAATGGTTTGACTGAACCTGGAGAGGCCCAGGAGTACACAGCCCCCAGACTCTCTGTTAGCCCCAAACTAAAACCATTCCCGAAGCCAACTCTTCATTCAAAGATTAAACTGGACTATAAGACATAAAATGATTATCATGAAGAGTGTGCTTCTTAACTCAAGCAGATATATGATACTGAATAGGCAGCTCCTGTCTGCAGGTGAGATGAGAAGCCAGAGAGGGTCAGGAGCTGGTGGAATGGACACGGGAAATCCGGGGTGGAAAGGAAGAACACGCTGTCATAGTACAGGAAGAGCAACTAGGGTCACATAGCAATGTATGTATAAATTTTTGTATGAAAGACTAACTTGAATTTTAAACTTTCACTTAAATCACAATAAAAAAAGAGTTTTTTATGTAAGAGAATAACATAATTAATAATGCCCATTATAAAAGTCACTCTTTTGCCAATGCAGGTGAAGCATTATAGGATGAGAGTTTGTGGACAAGGAGACCCACTGCGTGGCATTTGACATAACCCAAATGAAAAGAGAAGAGATCAAAGACCATTAAAAGGAGAACAGCTATGAAATCAAGAGATGTTAAGTGATAGATTTGACCAGACTTGATAAGCAGATGTAGGGAACTAAGGAAGAAAGAAAATGAGAGTGACTTCCAGGTTTTTACATTGATCACTGGGTTGACAGCTCCATTCACTAAAATGGGAAACCAAGAACAGGTACAGTTTTCTGGGGAAGGATAAATGATTTTGTTGTGGTCATTTTGATTTTGAGGTCCTGAAGAATATACAAGTGGACTAGAAAGTTGAGAATACAGAAAAATTCGGAGGTCAGTTTGTGTGATGTGATTCTCATTTCTTCCTCTAGAATACGACTCTTGAGGGAACATGTCATAGTCTTATTCATGTTCCTAATGATTTTCGACATATCTGGCACATAGTAGGTATGTAGAATTAATCTGAATACCATTTGTATTAATTTGATATCACAGATATAACAACTTATAAGCAATAATGCATTGATTTTTTTACACATATGTATGATGTATCAGGAAATTTGTTTTTGATGGGAAAACACTGATTCCCCACTCCCATCTTCCCTTCCATGTGGGTTTTTCACTAGTGTAACACTCCAGACTTTCCTCTGTTACCAGAAAAGGAAACTGGCTTTTCAGACTGTGAAGTTTAAAAAAAGAACAGAGCCTGCACAGCTCAACAACTTACTCTCTCTGTGACCAGCCTCCTTACAGAGAGGACACCATCTACTCTGCTTCTCCACAGCAAGCAGCGGCAAGCCCTGAGGGGTTCTGAAGCACCTATAGCAGATAAATCTGTCTTAGGCTTGGAATCAGAATTGGGAAACCAAGCTTGGTCAATAATAATGTTGACCTTTAGATCTCCATCTGCCTAACTTCTGCATCAGTTATTGATTTCTAAAATTCTAACAGGCATCTTTGTGGGCTTTATTTTCTCCAACTAAAACAAAATTGGCTTATGCTTTATACAAGTTCTTTATATGCTCTACTTTAAACAGTTTTTATTTTACTGAATAAAAAGCTTAATTTGTATAACTAAATTAATATACATTTGTTATAAAAATGTATTAAGATTATAGGCAAACCAAACTGTTTCTTTAAAAAAAAATCATCTATAATTTACACTGAAGCAAAAAAAAAACTTGATTTTTTGGTGACTATCCTAATTTTGTTTTGTTTTGTTTTGTTTTTTGCATACATAGGTGTCTTAGTCATCTAGTATTGCTATAACAGAAATACCACAAGTGGATGGCTTTAACAAAGAGAAGTTTATTCCCTCACAGTAAAGTAGGCTAAAAGTCCAAATTCAGAGCATCAGCTCCAGGGGAAGGTTTTCTCTCTCTGTTGGCTTTCTCATCAATCTTCCCCCTTACTAGGAGCTTCTCTGCACAGGGACCCAGGGTCTAGCACTCCTTTCTTGGTGGTATGAGGTCCCCCTGTCCCTCTGCTCTCTTCTCTCTTTTATATCTCAAAAGAGATTGCCTCAAGACACAATCCAATCTTGTAGACTGAGTCCTGCCTCACTAATACAACTGCCACCCATCCCCCCTCATTAACATATATAGACGCAGGATTTACAACGTATAGGAAAATCACACAATAGCAGGAATCGTAGCCCAGCCAAATTAAGACACATTTTTGGGGGACATAATTCAATCCATGACAATACATATTTCTTGTTTATATATATATATATATGTATATATATATATATATACACACACAAAATATAAGGTCATACCATAAGTCTATTTCATAACAAGTTATGATGAATGTAACTTCATGTCATAGATATACTTCAACTTCATTGTATATAACTTACTTGCACTCCCCTGTATTGATAAACCACAGTTTATTTAATCAATTTCTTGTTTTTAGGCATTTAGGTTATTTCCAGTTTAATACTATTATTATATCAACCTACATGAATGAACAAGTCAGTTGACACTATTTAAAATATTTGATGATATAATAGGTATGCTGGCATTTCTGTTTGCCCTTCCAAATCTACTCACTACCATTCTCCACCATGTTTTACACTCCAAGAGGCTGACTCTTAAGAATTGCATCAACCATACAGGGAACACATCACCCAACAGCAGCACAGTACACATTCTTCTCTAAAGCACATGGATCATTCTCCAGAATAAATTATATTTTATGGTCCAAAAACCAAGGCTCAATAAATCAAAAAAACAATGAAATAATACAAAGCATCTTCTTTGATCATAATGCTATAAAACTAGAACTCAATAACAGAAAGAACAAGGAAAAAAATTAAATACATGGAAACTGAGTAACATCTTACTTAAAACCTATTGAATAAAAGAAAAAATTAAAAATGAAATTAAAAAATTCTTAGAATCAAAAGAGAATGAAATTACAACATATCAAAACCTTGAGGACACAGCTAAAGTAGCACTCAGAGGAGAATTTACAGCAATAAACGCATACATCAAAAAGGAAGAAAGGGCCAAAATCAATAGCTTAACACAACAACTCAAATAAATAGAAAAGGAGCAGCAGAAGAAATACAGTCACCAGAAGAAAGGAAATAATAAAGATCAGAGCAGAAATAAATGAAACAGAAAACAGAAAAACAACAGAAAGAAACAAGACTAGAAGTAGGTTCTTTGAGAGGAATAATAAAATTGACAAACTACTGGCCAAATTGACAAAGGAAAAAAAAATGGGAAGATGCAAATAACCAAAATAAGAAATGAGATGGGTGACATTACAACAGAATGAACTGTGATAAAAAGAATCATAACATAAAAATATGAAAAATTATACTTCAACAAATTTGAAAACCTAGAAGAAATGGACAAATTTCTAGAAACACATAACCTACCTAAATTAACACAAATAGAGGTAGAAAATTTGAACAGGCACATAACGAAAGAAAAATATCAAAGATAGCATTAAAAAAAAAAAAAAAAAAAACCCAACCCAAAAAAGCCCAGGTACACATGGCTTCACTGGAGAATTCTACCAAACATTCAGGGAAGGGTTGATACCAATTCTACTAAAACTATTCCAGAATATAGAAAAGTAAAGATTACTCCCTAATTCATTCTATGAAGCCAGCATAACCCTGTTACCAAAGCCAGGCAATGACACCGTTAAAAAAGGAACCTACAGACCAATATCCCTCATGAATATAGAAGCAAAAATTCTCAACAAAATTCTATCCAACAGAATTCAACAGCATATCAAAAAAACACAATACATCATGGTCAAGTGGGATTCATACCAGGGATGTGTGGGTGGTTCAACA